CAAAATTTTTAAATTTTTATGTTGTAAAAAGTTTATCAGTCATTTTTTTATTGCTTCTGCATTCCTTAGCAACTTTATTGAGATAATTTATATATCTGAAAATTCACTCACTTTAAGTACAATTCAATGACTTTTAATTATTTTTTAAAATATATATTTATTCATTTCAGAAAGGAAGGGAGAGGGAGAGAGGGATAGAAACATCAATGAGAGAGAATCATTGATTGGCTGCCTCCTGCATACCCTTTACTGGGGGTTGAGTCCACAACCCAAGCATGTGCCCTTGATGGGAATCGAATCTGAGACCCTTCAGTCCTCATGCTAATGCTATATCCTCTGAGCCAAACCAGCTAGGGAAATTCAATGGCCCTTAGTAAATTCACAGAGTTGTACAGTGATCACCACAACCCAACATTAGAACATTTCCATCACTTCAAAATGATCCCTCCTGTCAATTTGCAGTCACTCCTGTTCCCACTCCCAGCCCCAGCCAACCATTAACCTGCTTTCTGTTCCTAGAGATTTGCCTAGTGTGAACATATCATATACATGGAATCATAGAGCAGGTGGACTTTTTGTCTGGCTTCTTTCATCTATAATATTTTGGAGATTCATCCATGTTGTATCAGTACTTCATTCCTTTTTATTGCTGAATAGTATTTCATTGTTTGGATAGACCATATTTTGTCTATTTTTTTCAGCAGTTGATACACTTTGGTTGTCTCAACTTTTTGGCTATTATGAGTAATGCTGCTATGAGTATTCACTGACAAGTTTTTGTGTGGGCATGTGTTTTTTATTGGATAGATACCTAGAAGTGGAATTGCTAGGTCATATGTTTAAGAAATGCCAAACTGTTTTTCCAAAGTGACTACTATTTACATTCTCCTCATCCTTTGATTCATAGTTAAAAAACCTTTTCCTATTCCAAGGTTAAAGAGGAATTCATCAATGTTTTATTCTAGTCCTTATGATGGTTTTATGTTTTACTTTTCATTTGGAGTATATTCTTATGAATGGTGTGAGCCTATTTTTTTTACTAACTTTATTTTTAGTAACCCTTAATCAGTTTTTTTATTATAAAAGTGATACACTGCTATATTTAGAAAGTATAAAAAATATTAAAATTGCCATAATTTTGTCACCCACAAATGACCAACTTTGTCTTTGTAATTCTTCCCCTTTTGGTAATTTAATCTTGATTTCCTTGGTGATACTTTAAGAATGTTGGATAAAGAAACTGAGGAAAGCTGTGTTCTCTTAAAGGGTCTCTTAAAGACCTATTCTAGTATACTTGATTTAGAAGCAATTGGCCCATCTTCCTTTACTTTGAATTTAGCACAGGCTTATTTTATGTAACACAAGGCTAATGAAGACCATTCCAGACTTCCAACAACCTAATAGGGGTGTCGAACTCAATCAGAGAAGGGGCCAAAATCTAAAATCCAGCCTAAATCACGGGCCGAATGGTTTACTGAACAGTCATAAACTGTCATTGTGATGGAAACGCAGCGGAGTGCAGTGATGACAGCGCGGTGCGGGCCACATTGCAAGGCCTGGCGGGACGGATTTGGCCCGGGGGCCTTGTGTTTGACACATGTGCGTATACTATAGAATATACTTTCAGCTGCAAAAGTAATCAATTCTAAGAAACAGTTGTTGAATCAAACAATTGGAATCAGTTGTTCAGTGTTTTCCAGAGAAATAAACATGCTACTTTTTATCTCAAAAATATGTTTATATTTTTAGAGACCTTTCATAATAAATCTTTTAACAAAATATACAATTTATAAACATTTTTTTTGCTTTTTGTCTTTGTATCATATTCAATTTTGAATTTGTGTCATTGAAGCTTTTACCGTATATTGATTTTTTGCTAGTGTTTGTCAATTTGCGCATGCTCAGCTAACTTGAATTCCTACTTTGGCAATTAAATAGCTTGTGAAAGGGGAAACATTTGTTTTCCATTGTATTTTTTCCCCATTTAGAGAAGCCTTAGAAATGTTAGGGGGGAAATGTACAGGGATGTAATGTACAGCATATAGAACATCTATATATATAAAAGCCCAGCGACTGTTAAGGCAGAATGCCAAAAACAACCAGAACTATCCGTCACTATGATGCGCATTGACTGCCAGGGGGCAGATGCTCAATGCAGGAGCTGCTCTCTGGTGGTCAGTGTGCTCTGACATTGGGAGTGCCACTCAGCCAGAAACCAGGTTTATGGCTGGGGAGCGCAGTGGCAGTGATAGGACCCTTTCCTGCCTCCACAGCAGCACTAAGAAGTGGTGAGTCAAGTGGTAAGGAGTGAGCAGGTAGGCAGTAAGGAGTAAGCAGGTGGGGTGGTTAGGAGTGATTGCAAGAAGGCACAGGCCAGGCTGAGGGATCCCCCCCAACCCCATGCATGAATTTCGCGCATCAGGCCTCTAGTAGTCAATAATATAATAACTTTGTATAGTGACAGATGGTTACTAGACTTAATGTGGCTATTATTTTGAAAGCTATATAAATATTGAATCACGTTATGCACCTGAAATTAATATGTTTTATATCAGCTGTACTTTAATAAATATAATAACTTTGGCACTTGTCAACTTTCATGAATGATGCATGGAAGTTTTCAGTTTAATATCAGTAAGGAAAGAAGGAAATATCAGAGCAATCTAAAATAACACTAAATCTACTGATAGTTCATTTTTTTTTGATAGTTCATTTTTATAATACACATTTTAATTGAACATTCCTTCGTAAGAGTCTTAATAAATTCTCAACAGTGTAATATGAGACCTTATGGTGTGATTTTGTTATTAACTTTTTGATAAAGATGTTCCATAAAAATTCATGGAGGTCTTGCCCTGGCGGGTTGGCTCAGTTAATTAAAGCGTCATCCTGTGCAGCAAAAGGTTTGGGAACAATTCCTTGTTGGGGCACATACCTAGGTTGAAGGATCCTTCTGTCCCCGGTCAGGATTCATGAGGGAGGCAACCAATCAGTGATTCTCTCACAGCAATGTTTCTCTCTTCCACCCTCCCTCCTCTCCTCCCTCCCTTTCTCTCTAAAAATAAATAAAAACATATTCTTAGGTGAGGAATTAAAAAGATAATTCATGCCCTAATCGGTTTGGCTCAGTGGATAGAGCGTTGGCCTGCAGACTCAAGGGTCCCAGGTTTGATTCCGGTCAAGGGTGTGTACCTTGGTTGCAGGCACATCCCCAGTAGGGGTTGTGCAGGAGGCAGCTGATTGGTGTTTCTCTCTCATTGATGTTTCTGACTCTATCCCTCTCCCCTCCTCTCTGTAAAACATCAATAAAATATATTAGAAAAAAAAATAGAGATCAAGAGAAATTGAACATAATTTAAAAAAATAAAATAATAAATAAAAAGATAATTAGTGGGTGTGAGAGGGCATCTTTTACTGTAATCATTTTTTATCCTTTATTAAGATTGAGAACAGCTGTTCCCTGTCCTTTTACCCTTTATTATAGCCTTGACAACTATTAACTTTTCCCTTCAGTCTTCTAAAGATCAAATCTTCATATTTCTTCTGATCTCTTTTTAAAATATATTTTTATTGACTTCAGAAAGGAAGTGAGGGGGGGAAGAGGGAAGGAGGAAGGGAGGGAGAGAGAGAGAATTGGCTGCTTCCCTCACACCCACCACTGGGGATCGAGCCAGCAAACCTGGCATGTGCCCTAATTTGGAATCAAACTGTGACCTCCTGGTTCATGGGTTGACAATCAACCACCGAGCCACATCGGCCAGGCTCTTCTGATCTTTTTTTGCCAGTCCAACTTTTCAGTGTTGTGAATAGCTAATCCCAGTGGATTACAAAACAAACCCCAAAATTATACTTCTTAATGGCCTGCTTCATTAGTCTGGGACCACTATGAAGTAAACTGCATAAATTCCAAAGTTTCTTATAGGTGTCCTTGAAAATTTTTTTCCCTTCCACTCCTATTTGAAATAGAAATTATTGTTGCCTCCACCCACTGTAAGCAATTTAAAACTGATAGACAAATGAACAGAAGGCTATGGGTCATCAGTTTCAAAAAAGATGAGCACTTAGGAAGGAAGCACTTATTTATTGAGAATTGTGAAATGAGGTCTTAGTGGCCACTGTTCACCATTTCAACTTTCTGACTTTTTAAATTCTATTGGGAGTAAACTATACACTAAATAGGTAATTGACTTATGTGTATGAGGTAAAATTTAGACCCTATCTCCTCTGTACCTTTTCTTTCCTAAATCCCTAATCTTTAATAAGAGATTAAGAGTGGGAAGAAGGAGAAAAATGTGTCTTAGCTATAGTTAGCCTTCACTTCTTATCTATGTGGCACGAAGATCCTAAACCAAGAGCCAAGGATAGACGTTAGTCATTCCTGTTGCAACCATATCTGGCTCTGAATCATTATTATCCTCCAACTCATAATTTCACTTACATGTGGAATCTAATGAACAAAATAAACTAACAAACAAAAGAGAAACAGACTCATAAATACAGAGAACAAACTGACAGATATCTGAGGGGAAGCCTGTTGGAGGACTGGGTGAAAAAGGTGTGGGGATTAAGCAAAAAAAAACACACAACACAACAACTCATAGACACAAACTACTGTATGGCTATTGCCAGAGGGGAAAGGGAGGAGAGGGGAGATAGAAGGAGGGGTAAAAGGGGGATAAATGGTGGTGGAAGGAGAATTGACTTGGGGTGGTACAATATACAAATGATGTATTATGGAATTGTATACCTGAAACCTGTATAATTTTATTAACCAATAAATTCAATAAAAATAATAAAGTATTTGAGGCATATGTTTCTTATTCTTACAACATATTCCCTGACTGAGAGAATAGATTGGAATAGACACACTTTTTCCAAACTTTGGGGGGTAATTTTAAACCAACTGCCCCACCCAAAAGGCCTGTGGTATATAGTTTTATCCACATTTGACAAAAGTGTTATTAATCATGTATTTTTCTAATGTTATTATTTTGTTTTAGTGTGCAACCATCAGAGAATCTACAGTCTTTGATGGAGAAGAATCAGTCCCTGGTGGAGGAGAATGAAAAATTAAGTCGTGGTCTGAGTGAGGCAGTTGGTCAGACATCTCAGCTATTGGAGAGGATCATTTTGGTGAGACCCCAAGACTAAACCACTGGCAATCTGGACATTTACCAGCTTTAGTTTCTGAAATATTTAACATGCTTCTCATTATGAGAGGCAAGTTATATGGAAAGAATGGATAGTATTACCATATCCTCCATCGAGGCCCTCTGTGGTAAATTCATGGACTTATAGTCACACATACAGAAAGTTAAAAGAATTGTACAGTGAACACCTATATATCCACCACAAAGAATCTACATGAATCCCATTCTTAAATAGATTTGTTCTAAAATGCCAGAGAAGACAGAACTAGGTCCCTCTCACCTTAAGTCCTGATTAATCTTTATAATACTAAGTAACTATTCCCTCAAAAAGATTTTAGTTCCTCTCTGTCTCACTTCCCCTATCATGAGGTCACATTCATATCCCATCCTAACAGTTATCATGGTGAGAGAATGGCTAGGAAATAAATTCCTTTCACATATGGTTAACTTCCAAATAGTGGATCACTATGTAACTTGTTACACTAGTCTGTATCCTACTGTCTGATAGTAACCTCCTGGATCAGTGTATGCTGGCTCTGTCAATAACATTTTTCTACTAGTCTAACTACAATTCAGTTTTTGATAGCACAATGATTGCCAGAAGCAAAAATGAGTTTCCATCAAAACGTGTGCTCCCTTGTCAAGAAAGGGTAAGCTGCTTAAAAATTTATTTAAAGGGGGCCAAATCCTATGTCCATTGTATTGTCCATTATTAGCAGAAGAGTTAAAATGGGATTTAGAGGATTTTTATATAGTTTTCTGTCTCCATGATGCATTTTTTGCCTTTGAAGTAATTCTAGAAGATTTGTCTCACATGATTGTGAATGTGGCAGATGTAACAGATAATACTTGTTATTCTAGCCACATACCTATCTGACCTTTACAAGATTGTTACAGTAGCTGCTCAATGGGCTTATTGTTTGATGTCCTATCAGAACTTCATAGCAAGCTCAAATTTTTGTCCTATACAAACTGTTTTTCCCGAACAGTGCATTTAGTACATTACAGATACTGTGATTGGAATAGAACAGAAGCTGCCGATTACCCTGCCCAAAATGTCGCTGCCTCTGCCATTTGTTCTCTGCCATCACTCTTGTGCTTCTCCCATTTTTTTTACTTTCTTTTGTTAAAACTAGCCTACCATATCATATAGTTTAATGTGAAAAAACTCAGCTCATATGAAATGTGAGGCTCTTTTATGTTTTAAATGCCCTTCTGCTGGGACCAGGGAACAGTATAGTGTAGGAGGTAGTTTAAAGTAAGTGGCTTTTTTTGCAAACAGCAGGGTGTAACATGCCAGAAACTATTGCCTTCTCCCTTAGTTGCAAAATTCTCTATGGAATTGAGGCTTCACACTCCACCCCATAGTTTGTGCTTCATGGCAAACATTAGACGCAGCTGCTTAGATGCTATTTTTAGTATTTCATGTTGACTGAAGGGCTAATTTCCATGACTATTAGACATTTCTCACTAAATAAACAAAGCCCATTAAATCTTCTATTATAGCAAAGGAGTCAGCCACTCTACCTGGATTTTAAACTATAGAAGTAGAAGAGAAGGCATAATTAAGTGAGGCTGTCAGGCACTGCCACTGATGATCTCCTGGGTCTTTGTTATAGACAGAACAAGCAAATGAAAAAATGAATGCCAAGCTAGAAGAACTCAAGCAGCATGCAGCGTAAGTTTCTTACCAGATGTTTTGTTATTGACCTTATAGCACGTAATATGTAATCATAGGTGCACTGGCCTTGACAGTGTGATTAACTCTTGGATTCCTTTGCTTGAATTTTCAGCTGCAAAGTGGACCTTCAAAAGCTAGCAGGAAATTTGGAAGACCAGGAATTAAAAGAAAATGTAGAGAAAATTTGTAACCTGCAGCAACTGATTAATCAGATATCGGTAAGCCAAGTAGGGACAGTGTAAACAGGGCACATTGTTTTCATTTGTTTCTCTCTTTTTGTTTTTTTACTAGAGGCCCAGTGCACAAAATTTGTGCAGTGGGGTGGGTGTCCCTCAGTCCAGCCTGCACCCTCTTCAATCTGGGACCCCTCAAGGGATGTCCGACTGCCCATTTAGGCCTTGTCCTGATAGGATTGGCCTAAACCAGTGTTTCCCAACCTTCTCTCATGATGAGAATCACCTGGTGGAGTTGTTAAAACACAGATTCCTGAATCCCAACTAAGAAGTGCTAAACTAGAATTTTTGAGAACATATAGGTAAAATTGCATACCTAACTTAGTGCTCTGTATATAAAATCTGTCTTAGAGCACTAGTTAAGTATACAATTTTACCTATATGTTCCCAAGAATTCTAGTTTAGCACTTCTTAGTTGGGATTCAGGAATCTGTGTTTTAACAACTCCACCAGGTGATTCTCATCATGAGAGAAGGTTGGGAAACACTGGCCTAAACAGTCAGTCGGACATCACTCTCACAATCCAGGACTGCTGGCTCCCAACTGCTCCCCTGCCTCCCTGCCTGCCTGATTGCCCCTAATAACTTCTGTCAGCCTGATCACACCTAACCACTCCCCAGCCAGCCTAATTGATACCTAACTGCTCCCCTGACAGCCTGTTTTCCTCTAACTGCCCTCCCCTGCAGGCCTGGTCACCCCTAACTGCCCTCCCCTTCAGGCCTGGTCACCCCTAACTGCCCTCCTGCTGACCTGGTCACCCCTAACTGCTCTCCCCTGCTGGCCTGGTCACCCCTAGCTGCTCTCCCCTGCAGACCTGCCTCCCCCCCTCCACCCCCCCCGCAACTGCTCTCCCCTGCAGGCCTGGGTCCCCCCCAACTGCTCTTCCCTGAAGACCCGGCTGCCCCCAACTTCTCTCCTCTGCCGGCCTGGTCACCCCTAACTGCCCTCCCCTGCAGGCTTGATCACCCCCAACTGCCCTCACTTGCAGGCCTGGTCCCTCCCAAATGCCCTCTCTTGCTGGCCATCTTGTGGTGGCCCCCTTGTGTCCACAAGGGGACAGCCATCTTGTGTGTTGGAGTGATGGTTAATTTGCATATTACTCTTTTATTAGATAGGATTTTTCAGTTACAATTGATGTACAATATAATATTCATTTCAGGTGTACCACCCAGTGATTAGACATTTATAGAACTTAAAAAATGATAACCCTGATAAATCTAGTACCCATCTGATACCACATAGGAGGTGAAAAGTCAGCCACTGCCTAAGGCCACCCTGCATGAGCTATTTATATTAAGCTTGGAGGTGCCCAGGTGAATCTGGGTTGTGAAGCAAAGCAGGCTCATGCTAGTGCTGAGTCTTGGGCCTTTCAGTATTGATAGGTTTGGGGCATGCTGACCCAGCTGTAGCTTGTTTGAGAGATTTTAGCAAAGTCTGAAGCCTAAGCAAGGACAGGCCATTCATATGCAAAAGCTACTGCACATGGGTTGGTGGGGCTGAAAATTGGATGGGGATAGGTCTCAGAATTTACCAGGGTGGAGCAAACAGATATGGATGCCAGTTAGCCTCACATGAACAAGGACCCTGTGAGCACCTCCATCTGGGAAAAAACTGACCCCAAATTCCTGCCCCAATGCCAGATAATTCAGTTCCTCCTTTTATGTGTCTGGGTCCCCCAGAGCCTTGCCCTGGAGCTGGAGCTCAAAGGAAGCGGGACCTTGTAAGTTCAACTCATGTGCCTGCTCTTTAAAAGGAACACCTGGGCCCAGCCTGTGTGGCTCAGAGGTTGTGTGTTGACCTATGAACCAAGACGTTACGGTTTGATTCCTGGTCAGGGCACATGCATGTGTTGGGGGCTCAGAACCCCAGTGGGGAGTGTGCACAAGGCAGCAAATCAATGATGTTTCTATCTCTTCATTGATGTTTCTATATCTCTCTCCCTCTCCCTTCCTCTCTGAAAGCAATAAAAATATGTTCAAATTAATAAAACAAAACAATAAAGGAACATCTGGATCCCCAACTGCCTCCATGTCTCTGAGCCCTAATCTCTGCTGGTTTTTACAGCCTGTAGTTATCCCCACTGGTCTTCCCAGTTCTGGAATCTTGAGCTAGGGGGCTGGTGTGGGACTGGGACCCCTTGCTCCTCATGGGCAGCTCTGCATAGATAATCTCCAGATTACAGAAACAGCCCACATGGATGCCAGTCTAGCCCATTCCATGCCTCTTCCCCTCTTACTAGTCTCAATGCACTCTCTTCTTTACTTCTCTAGTTGTAGGACTTCCATTCAGACAGCTCTCAGGCAGTTCTGAATGATGTGATTTTTTTTTTTTTTTTTTTAGTTGTAATTTTGATGTGGTTGTGGGAGACAGCGAGTACAGGTTGGTTCCTCAAGTGTTTTTGTTTGTTTGTTTGTTTATTTGTTTTTTAAGAGAGAAGAAGAGAGAGGTAGAGAGATAGAGCCTCTATCTGTTCTGCTTGTTTATTTTCTTTTAGGTTCCACAGGTAAGTGAAATCATGTGGCATTTGTCTTTCTCTGTGTTACTTTTTTCACTTGGTACAATACCCTCTAGGGATAGTCATATTGTTGCAGGTGGCAAGATTTAATCTTTTAAAATAGCTAAGTCATATTCCATTGAATATATACACCACCACTTTTTTATCCGCTTATTTATTAATGGGTACTTAGGTTGCTTCTATCTCTTGGCTATCCTATATAATAAAAGCCTAATATGCAAATTGTCCCCTCAACTGGGAGTTTGACTGCTCACTATGATGTGCACTGCACACCAGAGGGCAGCGCAGAACATGGCAGGAGTTTGGCGATGTGGCGCTGATGGTCCTGATGGGCCCCAACGAGAATGGGACCACAGAGGGATGGTGGAGCTGGTGAGTGGGGGAGAGGCACGCCAGGCCAAGGTGGGTGCAAGAAGGGCTCGATTGCCCTACAGATGGTGACAAATAGCAGCGGGCGGGGGGGGGGGGGGGGGGGCACCTGGCTCCCGGCACTGTGGGAGCCAGGCAGGGCCCGATAACTCAGGCGGAGGGGGTCGTGCAGGTGCCCAGAGGGCCAAAGTGCTGCCTAGGGCACAGAGGTCAGCTGGGACCTGCCCTTCCACACCAGACACTCATGCTTCAATTGCCGGCCAGGCCTAGGGACTGCACTCATGCATGAATTTTGTGCCCTGGGCCTCTATAATAATAAAAATGTAATATGCTAATTGGACCGAATGTTCTTTCAGTTGATTTTCCAGACAAAGCTGCTGTGGCGGGGCCAAGGCAGAGGCACCTGACCACCATCGCAGGCTGGGGCCAAGGCAGACGCCACAGTGGCTGGGGCCAAACCCCTTGCACAAATTTCATGCATCGAACCTCTAGTTGTAGATAATGCAACAAACATGGATGCAGATCTCTTTTTGACTTAGTATCTTCAGATAAATACACAGAAGTAGAATTACTGAGTACTTCATTATCTCTCTGTTTTAAAAGTCTGATTTGTCTGGTATAAACAGTGCTTCCCTAGTGTTTTGGTTTTTTTTTTTTCCATTTTCATGAAATTTCTTTTTCCATCCCTTTAATTTCAATCTGTGTGTATCTTTCAATCTGAAGTGTGTCTCTTGTAGACAGCATATGTAATGGTTTTGATTATCCATTGAGCCATCCTATCTTTATATTGGAGAATTTAATCCATTTGTAGTTAAAGTAATTTTTTTTATTTTTTTGATTAAGGTATTATATATGTGTCCCTTTCAAGTAATTTTTGATAGATATGTATTTATTATCATTTCACTATTCATATTTTTCTCTTTTTCCCCTCTTCTTAAAGAAGTACCTTTAACATTTCTGTAATATTGGTTTGGTGGTGATGAACTCCTTTAGCTTTTTCTTGTCTGATAAGCTTTTTATCTATCCTTTGATTCTAAATGATAACTTTGTAGGGTAGAGGTCCTTGCTTTTCATCCCTTTGAATATTTCTTGCTACTCCCTTCTGACCTGCAAAGTTTCTGTTAAGAAATCCTCTGGCAGTCTTATGAGAGATGACTTGAAGGTAACTAGCTGATTTTCTCTTGCTGCTTTTAAGATTGTCTCTTTGTCTTTAACCTTTGGCATTTTTATTATGATGTGTCTTAGTGTGGGCCTCATTGGGTTCACCTTGTTTTGGATTCTCTGGGCTTCTGGGTTTAGTGTGTCTGTTTCCTTCACCAGGTTAGGGAAGTTTTCTGTTGTTATTTTTTCACACATAGGTTTTTAATTCTCTGCACTCTCTCTTCTATTTCTGGCACCCCCATGATGTGAATATTGGTATGCTTGAAATTCTAGAGGCTTTTTAAACTATCCTTATTTTGTTTGGATTCTTCTTTTCTCTCCCCTCTACCCCCCCCCCCCCCCGGTTCTGATTGGGATGTTTTCTGCTCCCTTATTTTTCAAATCTCTGATTTGATCCTCTCTTTCATCTACCCCACTGTTGATTCCCTATAATGCATTCTTCATATTAGTGTATTCTTCATTTATGACTGGTTCTTTTTTATGTTTTCTATCTTTCTCTTAAGGTTCTTATCACTAAGTTCATCTAATCTTCCCCTAAGTTCATTAAGCATCCTTAAAACCAGTATTTTGAACTCTGCATCTGGTAAATTGCTCATCTCTATTTTGTTTAGTTCTTTTTCTGGACTTCTGTTCTTTCATTTGGGATATGTTTCTTTGTCTTATTTTGGCTGCCTCCCTGTGTTTGTTTCTATGTATTAGGTAGAACTGCTATGTCTCCCAGGCTTGGTAGAGTAGCTTTATGTAGTAGGCATCCTATAGGGCCCAGTGGTGCAGCATCTCCAGTCACCCAAGCAGAGTGCTTAAGGTGTGCCCCCAATGTGGGCTATGTGCACACTCCTGTTTTGTTGAGCATCTCAATGGTAAGGATTTACTCCCAAGCTAATTGACTGAAAGGACTAGCCAAACCTACTACAGAGGAGCTGCTGTTCAGGGGCAAACC